TGCAGGCTGGGATTTTGGCACTCTATTTGGAACAACTTAAGTTTGAGCGTTGGCTTTCTATTTGGAACAACTTATGTTGGAGCGTTGCTCCTGGATTTTGTCAAATTCTGTGTTGATCCTCTTATATGAACTTGACCATTAATAGGTGCTGTAATGAATTTTCTTTGTGAAGTTTTTATCATCTTGACTCTTGTAGGTCGCTGTGCGAGTGAGAGACAATAATGACTCTACCGTGAAGAGTGTCGAGGAACTGTTAAAAGACTTCAAGGATGCAGTGGAAGCCTTCCGGTAGAAGGCGGTATATTTTCACAGGACACAGAAATTGGAAAGCATAGCCTGAGTGATTTCAAAATTTGAATTATTGAAACCAAAAAATGAAAATTCAAAAGAAAGAACTTGAAAACCACTAATTTCTTCATCTTTCCATGTTGATGTTATGACTTGAATTAAATTTGCTAGATCAAATGGGGCTGCATCTACCAAGATATCTGAATGTTTTGCTGCTAATTTGTTTCTAATTACTGTCCTCGAATTATGAATCTTATGTCTTGCCGTAGTTAGTAGTTATAAACGGGTAAATGCTTTGTATGCGAAAAATTTATGCCAAGAAATTAACGTTCGAAGATCAAGAAGGCCAAATGATCAAACTTATGAGTTCAAGAAAGATGCAAATATCATATTAAAACCAATTTGCAACGTCCTTAAATTCATGACGGTGGATTACACTTGCAAGAAGTTTTGACAGGGAAAAGTCCAGAAGATTAAGATTGTAAAACAGACATCAAAGTGCAAACACAAGCAGCTAAAACATAGTCGAGGCGAAGAAACAGAAAAAATGATTAAATAACCCAACATCTGTACAAAAGTAATATGTCAGGTTCCGACCCCAGAAGCTAGCAACAGAGCAAACTACGTTACTTCCACACATAGTTCATGCTGTCATCGAGTTCACTGTTAAAAAACCCGTTTTCCGTGGACTCATGGGCAATGTCTTGTACCATTTCCTCCGATAAATGAAGATTCTGTGGCAAATCTGATACTTTTTGGCTAAATGAGAAATTATTTGAAGCAGACTTGAAACTATTGCTTCTGCTCGGTGGGTGTCCAACAACATTGCCTTGTCCATTTGCAGACGAAGTAGTTGCTGCTGAAGGGCTGTTTCTAAAACCAAGTCCATCCCGACCTCCACTCTGCATCAAAAGGGACTGCTGTTGAACCCCGCCCCCGCCATTGCTGTTCACATCCTGCATCAATTGCTGGATCGTTTGCTGTTGAGATATTTGGGTCCCGTGAGAGGGCTGTGGCTGATTTTGCAGTAGTAAACCATTACCACTTAATGAACGCTGCAGCACATGCTGCTGCTGCTGCTGCTGCAGCTGTGCCACATGGGAATTCGAGAAGCCAGTAGCTGGTACATTCTGCAACCCTGAAACTGATGA